AACTAAAGGCCCGGATTCACACAGCACAACAGACAAGCCAAGGAGGGACAGAGCAGCCAGAATTTAGCCACTGGTGATGGCTGAAGAAGTCAAATGCGAGGGATACTTGCTCCTTTGCAGCAAACTGAAAGAATGAGCTGGACCCCCAATAGGTTTCACTCAGTAAAACCTCAGAGAAGGGAGATCTGAGGCCTTCTAGTTGTCAAAAGAGCCGAGTGATTCTACTTGCAATAGGCTGGAGTTTCTGCAGCCGTGTTGTGACACTTTCAAGGAGAAACAAAGGAGTGGGTAAATCTTAAAAGAAAAGGCTGCAATAACATGACGAAGCAAGCTCTAATGTTAAGCCCAATTATTCTACCACATGGGGATTTTGGTTCATGCTGGGAAGGAAAGCCTACTTTCTCCGCAACCATCTTTCCCTTCTGCACTAAATCCTTCTCTTGTCATTTATGCAGCAGGGCCTGCACCCTTACATAGAATGAACGGCTCTGGGAAAGGAACAGTACTTCTCTTAAGACAGCTAGGCATAAACCTCAGGCCCGTCCGACCACCACAACTTCAAGTGACCATGAAAAGACAGTCTGGTTATCAAAGAGAATGAGTAAATGGCTTTTGAACTGTGTACACCAGTGACTGGGAGAGACATTTGTGCCAGGAGTACACAGGTTGTATCAGCTCTGCCAGGTTCAGCTTGCCCTGGAAAAGGAAGAACAGATGCACCATGTAGCCATGAAATGGACCAGACTGGAAATAAAACAGGAAATTTACAAAAAGCCTTTTTTCCTAGGACTTGGAAGGCTATCAATTTTGTATTTAACTCTTATCACGTTAAGGCTCCCAAATAAGAACAACGATAAAGGACAAGGAAAACTGCCTTGGAAGCCCACCTTACTCTTGTAGTGCCTATTACTTTATTTCTTAAATGAAAAAAGGGAGAGTCAGAGAAAGAGATACCAACTTATTTGTTCTGCTTAAAACAGACTGCTGTTTTTCTCTAATTAATCAGGAGGGAACTGCTGGACATTTGGCATTTATGCAGAGGACAAACTTTGCTATATTTAGCCACCCTTTCTTACAAGCTGCTCTGTATCTCCTTCAAGAGTAGCACATGCGTTCAGTGTTTCAATTTTTACAGTAATTGAGACACAGGATTGTGTAATACTTTCACAACCAATCATTTTCTCAGATTTCTATCAAAAAGAAAGGACCATCTGAGAGGTTTTGGATTCCTGGAATGTTTTTCATAGAAACTCAGCCAAAAAAAAAAAAGCAAGCAGAAATGACCAATATGGATGGATTAAACGGGGTCTCTATTTTTAAATGTAGTGAATATGGATGGGGAAAAGTAAACATGCATCTAATGCACTGCATCATTTTTAAGAGCTTGAAAGAGAGGTTTTTATTTTAAGAGCTACATGTTAACTTCTCTTTCACCTTCATAAACATGACCCTTTGTCATTGGTTACTGGAAGTTTCTATGGGATGCAGGGCTATTTCCCACCCTAAACACTGTAAATTAATATGCACAAGCACAGTAGAAATCATATATTTACAAATTATTTTTCCTAACAAGTTTCCAAAACAGGGATAACCCAAATTATCACATCGGACTCTAAACAGCAGTTACTTATATGTTAAAGGTCATCTTAGAACTGTCCTTCATTGATCATTCCACTGATCGAAAGAGCCGTACAATTCAAGTGTTTGTGTAATTTCACATGACTCTTACTAATTCTCCTAAGTGCACCCTGCTTGGAACAACCAATTTTTTCACATACCAATATAAGCCATATTTTATTTATAATTTAAACATATATAAATATAGTTCTTCCAATTGATAGGACACATAACCAACATCACCCAGAATGACTGAAATTGACACAAAGGATAAATAGCGAGGTTGCCTCTATCTACATTCATAATCTTTAATATGTTAGAAGGCCATAGGTAGCTTTTAGATTGATTTTCTTATAAGGCTGTTCATGCTGCTTGCTCTTTGCAAATTCTTTGTCCTGTTCCCAGGCAGGGGGGGATGGGTGGGAATTTTCCCCCCAGAGACCAGTTAAAACTAAAAAGGGGACTTTTCTCTCCTTTGAGCTTCTCTTCTAGTAATTAAAATGCACAAGTTATAGACAACTGCAGGAGTCGTCTTCCAGTTGGTATATACACCCTGCAGCAATGCAATGCAATTGTTGTGCAACCTGTCCCCTCCTCCACGCAGGGTCTTACAAAGGAAGGGCTGCCCTATTGTACACAGGCAGCATTCATAGGCATCTCTTGACCACCAAAACACACAACTGAGTGAAAGCTCGAGGGCTGGTAACTCAAACGATGGGAAATATACCAAACACTGGCCAAATAAACTAGCTTTTTAAATCCAACCATGCTTGGGCTTATGTGAAAACTGGCACATTCTTGGGGGGTGGGGGGAGGGATAAGAAGCAGGACCTTCCGTCTTTTTGACTCATCTCTAAGCAACAGCACCATGGCAACTTTATCCAGCATTAGAAACCTTCTGTGGAAACAGGGTGGTAGGACAGGAGACAACATGCTGGAATGCCAATTTTAATTACCATTTAATTACCTCCAACAGTTGGGGCACAGGAAGCCCTTAGATTCATTCGCATAACAAACCAGCAGCCCCAAACCCAACCACACAACAATTCTCCTGGCTCTTGAGTGCCCAGGATCACCACTGGATCACCAGTGTTGCCCTTTCGCTAAAAGGAAAGTTGAGGCAACCCCTCCAGTTTTATATAGCACAACCACAATCTGCATGATACATTTTCCAGGACGGGAGCAAATTACATCTTTGCCCCTTATGCATACATGTGCTTCAGTTACAGCTGCTCTTTTCCAAGGAATCTTCTCCTTCTGCATATTCTGAGGAGAAGCTCTGCACTAAAGGTTGGCAGCTGTAAGCAGCAACCAGGGAGCCAGATGAAATCTCTCGTTACGCAGCTCTTCTGCTGCTGCTGCTTCACAAAGCCCCCCCCCCTCCTACCTCCCCTATGTGCAGCTTGAGATCAGCTCAATTCCTTCCGACATAAACTGGGACCCGGCCGCCATTTTAGAAAGGCATTCATACAAGCCAGCACTGCGCTAAACCCTCCAAGAGGCATGTTGTTCTCTCCTCTCTAGCAAAGGGAGGATCAAGGAACAGTTTTCTTTTTTTAAAAAAAAGCTGGGCTGCCAAACGATGAATCAGGCTCTATGTTGCTAATCACAGCAAGTACTACGAGACATTCTGCGTGTGCGCCTGTGTGGTACATGCATGCATTCCTCAGACACCAAGTCAAACACACAAGCAACAACAACAAAAAAACACAAAGGAAAACCGCTAGGAAAGGACCACCTCAGCTCCCACGCAAGGCTTATTTTGCATATGGGAACTTTAAAACCATTTTCCTATCTACTAGATAATAAGACCAGAATAAAAATCCACTTCTGATTTTGTAACCTGCATGCCCTAACTCTGAATTATAGGGGGGGGAGGGGGAAGAATAATGGGAAGCATCAGTTCTAATGTAGCATTAAATGACATCTTTGGCACAAAATAAAAATGTATCCTGATCATCAACAAACAAGCCGCCATAAAGGGTAATTTCACTGTCTCTTTCCCCAGATTCACCAATCAAGCTTGTTCCCCCATGAGGTAACCATGCAAGTCTATTTTTCCCATGATGACTCATTAGGTACGCTCCATAATCTTCCTAAACAGTAGGAAGAAAATTACAAGAAAACTTGCAATCCTCTTAAGTCTTTCACTGAAAATAACTTCAACTGGCCCAGATAGGGGTCAAGAATGATGCACGTCAGTATTCCTTGACAATGCCATAATAGGCAAGACCAGAAATAATTATTTAAGACAGATGTTTCTGCAACTGTATCTAGAATGTGTCCATCACCACACAAAAGCCATCTCATGTAAGCACCATGCTAGTGCTATTCGGCTACATGCATTTTGTCCAAAATGTTTCTCACTGGGTGATTTTTAAAAGGCAAAAAACATGTTTACAGCCAGAAAATATATCACGAATGCAAATAAGCTACGGTTTAGTATTAGGCCATCCCGGAAATGTTCCACAGCAACAGAACAAAAGGAAGTTGGATTCAAAAATGATTTCAAGTGCTCTAGTCGCTCAAAGTGGTGCCTAAATATCCATGTTCGTTATTTCTTTCATAATCCCTTAAGAATAAGAAAACAAAGAACCTCAAAATTGCAGAGCTCGATTGCCAGCTTGCGTGGGAAAAAAAAAAATTCAAGCAGTTAGTAGTCCGGGATCGAGAGTATGGAAAGAGGAAAAAAAAATAAAAATAAGAAATTTTGTCTAGCACAGCTTGGCGTAAAAGTGGTTTCCATCACAACAGGTTCTTTCAAAATTCCAGTTCACGACATGAAGGCCAGTGCAGCATCTCTCTCCCGTCCATCTGCAAAAGGTCTCTAGAGGTGAAGGCTGCACCCTGTGGAAGTTTTTTTGTCCACACTTCCCAAATGCTCAATGCAGAAAGAAGTCCAGCGGCCTTTCTGAAGAACAAAGCAGCAGCAAAACAAGCATTGTTGGGGCTTCTTCTCCAGAGGTGCAGTCGAAGTGGGGGGGGGGAGGGAGGGGGGGGGAGGCTGCAGAAGCCGCCAGATGGTCCTGATGACAGGTTGTCCAGACTGTCTCTTCTCCGGGCGGGCTCCCGAGAGGCCCTCTTAAAATCCTGGGCCTCGACCCCTTTCGCACACACAGCGGCCTCCTCCTCCTCCTCCTTTACCTGCCGCACCTCGGAATATCCCTTGGAGGGACGGCGTGGGCGCGGAGGGGCTGTCCGCCCTCCCGGAGGGTAAATCGCGGGTTCCCGCCGACCCGATGACGGACACCACCACCACCACCCCCTTTCCCCGGAGCAAAGGCCTCTGGGTCACCGGCCGCTTGGAAAGGCCTCCCCCGGCTTGCTCCAATCCCCCCCCCCCCACACCACTCTCCTTCCGCCCCCCCGGCGGCCCCGCTCACCGCTTGAAGTGCTCGATGATCTTCTCCTCGCGGACGTTCTCCGGCAGGTTGCCCACCCAGAGGTGCCTGGTCTCCCGGACCATGATGCTGCCCCCGGGAGACGGGGGGTCCTGGCGCCGCCCACCTGCCGCCGCCGCCGCCGCTTCGGCTCGGCTCAGCGCCGCGAGGGGGAGCCGCCGCGCCTCCGCCGCCGCCGCGCCCGGCCCGCTCTTCCTCCACCACCGCCGCCGCCGCCTCCCTCCGCGGCGCCGGTGGGAGACACCATCCCACCGGGCCCCGCCGCCGCCGCCGCCGCCTTCTCCGCCGCCACTCCCGCGCCACTTGGCCCCTCGCCGCCGCCGCCGCCTCCTGCCGCCGCTCCGGATGCTGCTGCTGCTGCGGGCGGCGATGCCGGTGATATTGAGGGGGCCGCCGCCGGCGCCGCCGCCTTGACCACCGTCGTTGTCGTCGTCGTCGTCGTCCTCGTCGTGCGCGCGTCCTGCTCGGCGGCGGCGCTGTCGCTGCTTCAGCCCAATTTCTCCTCAGCAGCCGCAGCAGCGCCGCGCGCGGCGTCGCTCTCTCGTTCGCTCGGCCACCCGCACGGCGCCTGCGCACTCGGCCGCCACCGTAGCCAATCCGTCGCCGAGCGCCCGCCTCGCGCCCCAGGGGCGCGCTGCCTATTGGGCGGAGGGAAGCGCGCGTCGGGCCGCGGGAAGAGGAGGGGGCAGCGAAAGGGAAGAGCGCGCGCAAGCGCTCTGGACACTTCTTTTTCTTCCAAGAGAACAGGACAGAAACTGCTCCAGAAGGCGGGGGGAGCCGTGAGAGAAACCTGTCCTCGATACGCCTCCCGGCGGCGAACGCGCACGCGCAGCACGCGTTCTCCGGCGGGTGCTTCCATCTGCGCGTGCGCGCACTGTGGCATTCCCGCCGCCTCTCCTCAGGCGTCGAGGGGGAGGAGGGTTATTGGGTGTCATTCACAAGTTGTGCGCACTCACGTGTGCGGAGTCCGCGTCCTCCATTATTACCTCGAAACTCAGCTCCGGCCCTCTTTTAAGCCCTTCGCGGCCACCACCCGATCTCAGCCGACCCGGGCGCTCATGCTCCTCAGCCCACTCCCCGGTCCCCTGCTCTTCCCGAACTGCCTCCGCGACTCTCTCCCTCTTGGGACCGAGGACCTGACAGGCCCAGGGAAAGCCCGAGCGACCTTTCCCCGGAAGGAAGTGGAGCACGCAGGCCCGACTGAGAAGATCCGCCGAGCGGCCTTGGCTCCGGGAAGGCCGCCCCGCCCTCGTGCTCGGGGGACGGCGCCATTTTGTCGCTCCTGCCTGCTCGGGCGGCCATTTTGTGACACCGGGGCGCCGCGGCTGCCCTTCTACGCGCGCCCAGCAGGGGCGCTGTGCAACCCCCCCCCGTCCCGCTCGGGGGCCCCCCTTGAACAAAAAGGGGGGGGGGGTTGTCGGGGCCCGCCGCCCCTCCCCCCCCCCCCGTCCAGCTGGCACCGCCCCCCCACGCCCCCCCCTCCCCCAGCGAGCCCCGGGGATTGTGTGGAAGCGGGGAGGGGGGGGAGAAGCCCCCGAAAAAAGGGGCCGTTGTGTAGTGAAGCTTCGGCGCTGGATGTCTTTTTTTTTTTTTTAATAAAAGCTTTTTATTTATTTCGGATCGGTTATTATTGCACGCCTCCTCCCGGATTCCCACCGGCGGGGACAGGTCGAGCCAAGAGGCCACACGGCCGGCCTCTGAATCCGAGAGATCTTGCGAGGAATTCCGCGGTCCTGCTCGGAGAACGTCGGGATGTCCGGAAAACACGCGTGGGGCTAAATCCACCCCCCCAAAGAAGGGCACCACCAAGGCCGGCCCTCCGCTTCAGACACGTCCCGGTTGTCCTCAAAAGGCGATCAGGATTTGGTTGTGTTTTTCCTCCTTGAAAGAAGTGTTTTCGCTTCTCCTCCGAGAGCTGAGGAAGCTTCTGGGATGAGCAGCGAAACGTTTTCAAGGAGGGAGGGGGAAGAAAACAAAAACAAAACAACAACCCAGGAAAAGTCCTTTTGCAAAAGCACCTTTGGGACCAAATGGCTTTAAGCTACATTCCTGTGTCTGGCAGGGTTCCTGGTCTGGTTGTCAGGGCCTCCTCGGAGTGGTGCCCAGCCCGGCTGGGATGGGGAGAGGCTGCCTTGGCACCCGAGTACCAAGGAAGGGGGGTAGGGGCTCCTAGGACTGGAGCATCTCCCCCTCCAGCTGTGGACAAAGGAAGCTGCCTTGCCTTGCGGTGGGGGGAGAAAGGGGGCAGCCAGCTAAAATGGGGAGTCAAGTTGGGGACCCCTCTTCCTCCTCCGTCGGCAGCCTTAACTCTTGGCCTGACTGGCCAGGACTGACCAAAGCAAAGGGAAAGGCCCAAGAGTCAAAAGAAAGAGCCCCCCACCATTGTCTGTGGGACTTTTCCCAGGACCCCCCTCCCTCCCTCCTCCAAGGGGGCAGAGCTCCTGAGGGCTCCCCTGTGTTTTAAGTCCTGTTTGCCAAAACAGCAGCAATGCCCATATCTTGCTTGGACTTTGGGGGGGGAGGTCCAGAGCTGGCCTGCCCCCTAGTGGAGGAGACCAGTACTAATGGGAACTGAAGTCCACTGAAAACCACCCAGAAAGAGCCTTTTTCCTGGTCTCCTTGGCTGCTGGGCTTGACTCAAAGGCGGGCTTCTTTGGGGGGCACGGAGAGCAGGATGAGGGGCTGCGGGCTCAAAGCCCTCTTGGCTCCCTCCCACCCAACCCCCCAGCAGCTGAACGGCCCACAACTACGCAGGTGCCACCTGGAAATGTGCAGCATTGGAGTTGGGTGGGCTCCCTCTCCAGATCTTCTCTGTTGCCTTAGGTCAGGTGGTCCTGGAAGCCTGGGCTGCCCCTTGCCCCCCCCTTCGTCGGAGACAGAGCTTGGGGGAAGCGGGGAGGGGACTTGCCGGCCAAACGCGGCTTCCCTCCTGAACTCGCTCTCTTCCCCTCTCCTTGCCTGGGAAAGCCGCTTTCCCGCAGGCCGAATCCCAGCGGCGCCTCCAGTGGCAAGAAGAGCCGAGTGCTCTCCCTAGCCGGACATAAGAAGGGGGGGTGGAAGGAGCAGGGCGTCTTTGGTCTGGTGTGGAAGAGTGGCAAAGCTCGTTCCAACAAGGAGGGGGTTGCTCTCAGTCTACTCCCCCCCCCCCGGGGGAGAGAAACGTGGCAAAAAGGTTCACAGACACAAGGTGGGGGGGAAGGGGCAAGCTGGAACACCGGGACTAGCCTTCCTGGCCCCACTTCCGGGAGCGATCAGCATCTGTTGTCTCCTCCCGGCGGGGACTGGATCTGCCAGGCGTGGCAGGCTTGGCAAAGGAGGCGGCTGCCGAGAGGGTAACACCCGTCCTCCGTGGGCTCCAGGGAGAGCAAGACCTGGCACTTCTAGGGGCCAAAAGAAACGAGCGTCAGGAGCAGCGCTACCTCCTCCAGTCCCCCCCCGCAGGGGATTGCTTTGAAACCCCCATCTCCACTGCGGGGGGGGGGGGGGGGGGGCAGGGGTCCCGGGGAGGGGGAGCACACCTTCCCAGTCGCCGAAAACCCAGCTTGGAAGGTCTCCACAATTAGGAGCGGGAAGGGGGGGCGGTTCTCGAAGCAAGAGAACCGACCTAGCCTCCACGAGTCACGTGACCACGCTGGCTCCCTTGCTCGGGCCTCCTTCCAAGGAAGGCCTCTAAGACCCCCTCCTCAGCCCAGACCCACCTCACACCGATAGCAGTCCTCGTGGAAGCTCCTGCCCAGGCACTCGATCCTGTAGGCGTCCCTCCCTTCCTGCGGGATGATGGGCTCCTCGCAGACCCCGCAGACGGGAGCAAACCTCCTGGAAGGCAGGCAAGGCAGGTCGGTCACGCGGCAGCTCCCACTTTTAACTTCCACCCCCTGCCTTCTGTGCAAAGCAATCCCCCCTCCCCCCCCAAAGGCGACGGTGCCGTACCGGTAAAAGTCCGGAAGGCAAAGCGCCCGCTGCTCGTCGTCCACAGCGAAGGCGTCGCTGCCAATCTGGCGGCTGCAGTCCACGCAGGTGAAGCATTCCGGGTGGTATCCCTTCCCCACTGCCCACACAATCTCGCTGAGGATGGAGGCTTGGCAGGCATCGCATTTCTCCAGGGTGGTCTGGGATGGCAAACGAGACCCAGGAAGGCGAGAGGTAGGCATGAGCTAAATCGGGGGTCTCCAACCATGGCAACTTTAAGCCTGGAGGACTTCAACTCCCAGAATTCCTCAGCCAGCAAAGACCTGTGGACTTCAACTCCTAGAATTCCTCAGCCAGCTGGCTGGGGAATTCTGGGAGTTGAAGTCCACCAGGCTTAAAGTTGACTTTCTCCTCCTTTCTTCCTCCCGATTGCCCAGGCCTTACCTGATAGCAGGCTACGCACAGCGGCCGGCCTTCTTTTTGGTAGTAGCGCTCCCCTGCAAGGCTGCTGTGACACCCCCGGCAAGTGAAGCATCTGACGTGGTACTGCTTCCTCATGGCTTCCAGAGCGAGAGCACCGGGCGAAATGCCCTTATGGCAGAAAGCGCAGATACCTAGGAAAGGAAGCAGGCGGGCGGGCAGGGGGGGTCAGCTAAGGTCAAGCCGCCTCCCTGGAACCCCGAGCCCAGAGACCTCTCGGTGGGGACAGGGAGCAGCTTCCTCACCTGGCGCTGCGGCCTCCTCCTCTTCCTCCTCCTGTCCATCTGTCCAGCCGAGAGGCCAGGCCGGATGAGGCTCTCCCGCTTCAGGCGCCTGGAAAAGAGAAACGAGGAGGCCCGGGTTAAGCCAAGCGCTTCGGAAAGCGGTCAAAAGAGTAGGAGACGCAGCGAAGGATGGGGAGAGCTCTTTAATTAAAAGATTCCTTCCCCTTCTAGACTCAAGAAGTTTTTCTTGAGGGTTCTGTTTGCTTTTTCTGAAGTTGCACAGGGTGTGTGTGCGCGTGTGTGTAAGCTGAAACGCAGCCTTGAGCCTCTCTCAATCACCCCAAGGCCACTTCTTGTCATTTTAAAAAGCCAGGCCAGATGTCTTTGGACGGCGCGTGATTAAAGAGGAGGTTTCTGGTGAAGGCTCCAAGGTATCTGCCAGGTGGCCATTACGTTACATTAAAGAGTTTTACCTCTACAGCCAGGCCTGTGTTTTAATGCTGCTCCCACAGCCCAGCTGCCTGCTTCTCTTGCACTCCCGCTGAGGGGGAAAGGGCTTCGTCCCACGGAAGAGGATTACCTGCAGGGAGGAGGGCAAGGCGGCGGCTCCCGTCGGCAGATCGGGGCCCAGGGTCTTCACCTGGAGGGGCGTGGGCTGCAGGGACCCCTGGACAGCCTCTACTGAGGGCTGAGGAGGGTCACCTGGAGGCGGCTGCAGGGCAGGAGGGTCTGCGGGGGAGAGAAGGAGCTTAGCGGGATCTGGGTTCTTCCCGCTTCTGCCCCCACCTCTGGGCGAGGGGAGCCCATCCAAAGGACGGCAGGGGCCTCACCTGCACCCGGAGCGCAGCCGGGCCCCCTCCCCTCTTTACGAGGGACCGGCTTCTCGGCGGGAAGGTACAGTGGGGCCTTGGCGGGACCAGCGCAGCCCCTCCGGGGCGGCGCCAGGATGATGAAGATGGAAGAGACCATGCGCTTCTTCTCCGTCTTGTCCGAGAGCATCCCTGCCTGAGAACAAGGGAAGAAGAGGCCACTTGGGGGGGGGGGGCTCCCCCCCCAACCCCCCCCCCCCCAAAAAAAAATCCCAGCAGGGAAAGCCACAAAAGGGGTGGAGGGAAACATAAACGTTGCAAAAAAAAGCCCCCTCCCCCCCACAGCTGATTCCCAGGCCTCAACCCCCTCCCCTTTTTCCTTCTGTGTCCAAAGCTTTTTATTGGGGGGGGGGGGCGGTCCCCCCCGGAGGGGGGGGGCCCCCGGGGGGGGGGAGACCCCCCCCCGGGGAACACGGGGCGCAAAGACCCCCCCCAGCCCCACCTTGCACCCGCCCCTCTCCCCAAACGCCCCTTCCCGATCGGGGCCCCCTAGACGCCCCCCAAATGCGCTCCCCGCTCGGCTGCCGGGGAAAAGGCGAGGCGGGACTTTTCGGGGGGACCGCGCGGGGGTCCCCTTGCAAGAAGCGCTGCCCGGCCACTCCGCCCTTCTCCCGGGGAAGGGAAGTGGGGTGGCTTCCCCCGGGAAAGGCTTTCCCGGAGCATCCCGTCCCCCGAAGCGAGGCCCGGGACGAGGGGAAGGAAGAGGTCCAGGCGCCCAGGCAAAGCAGCAGCGGCGGGTCGATCATCCCTGCCCACCGCCCTCCACCTCACCTGGAAACGGGCAGCCAAGGCGGGCAGGCTGCTTCTCCTCCCTCCGGCCGTCGCTCGCTCAGCACCTTCGCCTGCCTGCCTGCCGGGGGTCGAGCAGCCGCGCCCCGCCCCGCCGCCGCCGCCGTTGTGGCCGTAAAAGGCGAGAGGGGCGTCTGCCAAAAGCGGCGCTTTCCTGTACCTGCCCGGCCCTCCCGCGCCCCGTCTCGAACTCGCCGCGCCTTCCTTCCCTCTTCCCGTGGCTGGTGGGGCCGAGGCAGCCTATGCTTCCCACCCACCCCCAAAAAAACACAGCTGGATCGGCGGACCCAGCATCCCCAGCCTTGGGCCGGAAGCAACCATTCCCATCTGGACTCATTCCCTGGCTCAGCTGGGGGGATCGGATCCCCCCCCTCCCCACCTTCCTTTGAGAGACAGGCGGGATGTCTTCCCTTGGCCGCAGCCTGGGAAACCCCCCCCCCAGCTTCCCAATAAAGAAGCCATTCAATCCGAGGAGCCCCCTCCCCTCCCTTAGGCCCCAGTCAGACAAACATCAAGGACACGTGAACCCCGCCAAGGACCCAAACTGGAGGAAATCAACTCAAGCCAAGCTCCTTCCTAATTTACGGGAGGGAAGGAAACCAGCAAGTTACTCTGACAGTCAAAAGCCCCCTCCCCCGGGGTGGGGGGTGGGCTTACTTTTGTCCCGGTTTTTTTGTATGGGTCTACAGTGGTCGGATTCCAACAATTTCACTACCGGTTCTGTGGGCGTGGCTTGGCTTGGTGGGCGTGGCAGGGAAGGATATTGCAAAATCCCCCTTGCCTCCCCACCCCCGCTAACCTGCTTTCCAGCTCCGTTCTCCCGGGCAGGGCAACCCAAGGAGACCCAGCCGATCAGCTGGGACTCAATGGGAGGCAGGGAATAGAGGGGGTTGGCGGGGGGTGGGGGGCAGTCAGAGGTGGGATTGGCCGGTTCTCCAAACGACTCCAAACTTTCTGCTACTGGCCAGAACCGGCTGAAGACCCACCTCTGGG